AGGCTAGATCAATTATGGCTTTGTCAAACACGCTCATGTTCTCTATACATAGTGACATACTGGCTGTTGGGCAGAGCTTCCCATGACAGTATGCTATTCGTCCATTTTCCTACCACTGACAAGATTTTAAATCTTTACTAGTCACATATTTCGCTGATATGCTACTGATAGTCTACACACCATTGAAATTACAAATTTAAGCTTTCATTAGCTTGAATAAGCCTATAGCCCTTTTCAGTTCTCCAAAGTCTTCCTACACATCTCTATCCCCTTAAGGAAAGTCTTCTGAATCCTCAAAGGATTTGCTTTGTACGTTTTGACAACTGGCCTGTATTCCCTGTAGTGTACATATCTGGACATTCTTACTATAGTTATCTCTTTAGCATCTTTAATTTCAGCTACACTAATTCTTTAGAAAACATTTAATAAATACATAAATGATCAACCTGATAGCAGTACAATAGTTTTAGTTTGCTGAATCAAATACATGATTTGGATATTTTTGGAAAAAAGTTCAAATTCCATGAGTAAATCTGTATCTAGGCCTGTATGAGAAACAAAGGGGTTAAAATCTAATTGCTATTTTTTTTCTCTACAATGAAACAAAGTAATAACATGCCACAAATAGATTGTTTTTCATGAGACAAAATGTTCAATAAATGTTTGTTAAATTATTTTAAATGAATGTCAAAAAATTGTTTGTAGAGAGACGAGTTCACAGGAAGAGACCTAATATAGAACTTCTAGGAGTCTATAAAGCAGTGGTTCTCAAACTGTGGGTCATAACCCCTTTGGGGATTCAATGACCCTTTAACAGGAGTCACCTAAGACCATCTACATATCAGATATTTACATCATGATTCAAAATATTAGCAAAATTACAGTTACAAAGTAGCAATGAACTGATTTTATGGCTGGGAGTCATCACAACCTGAGGAACTGTATTAAAAGAAGACAGGAACCACTACTCTAAAGCAATGGTTAGCCTTTACCTTGGAAGCACGGAATGCAGTGCCATGTAGCCTTGTTTATGGGATGTGCACCCTAGGTGCTAACTAAAGTTGGGTTTTTAGAGAGCTAGGTACATACCTGCTGAAAGACTCAAAAAAGTGATCAAAGGGTCAACAAATATATATATTCAACTGTAGTGAAATAGAGTAGTGAGTTGAGGTGATGGAATAAATTGATTGTTTTTGCCAACCTCCGATAAGCATCATTTCTTGCCTTTCAGAAAAAAAAAATGGGGGGGGGGTGTCTCCTTTTCTTTGATAATAACTGATTGGTTTTTTGTTGTTGTTATTTGTTTGTTTTATAATAAGTAGCAACTATTACTTCAGGGCTATGGTTCAGGAATTGTGCTCAGTACTTTCACCCACATTAATCATTTAAGTAGAAAACAAGACCACCAGATATGTGATACCTTTATACTTTCCCAGAAAAGGTGAGAATACTCAAGTTGTCAAAGTAGATAGAGAGCAGGCTTGTATTGAAGGCAAGTGTTGGAATTAAGCCTTCCTATTCCCAAACCCAGGGCCAGATTTAAACTTACTAGAAATGGAGAGTTCCATGTCAACTTTTTCACTGAAAGACAGTTGTCGGGCTCCTGACTTGTTCCCTCTTTTCTCCTTCTTCTAATGTCCATCCTCTTTGCCTTTCTAGATAGGAATTGAGCATTTTAGCAAGAATGCTCCCTCTTGATTAGTTTGTTTATGTGTACAGATTTTAATAGGTTTATCCTGTATTACATGTCTATATGAGTGAGTATATACCATGTGCATCTTTCTACTTCTGGGATAGCTCACTCAGGATGCTCTTTTCCAGATCCCACCATTTACCTGCAAATTTCATGATTTCCTTGTTTTTTTATTGCTGAATAATAATCCATTGTGTAGATATACCACAATTTGTGCATCCATTCTTCAGTTGAGGGGCATCTGGGCTTTTTCCAGCTTCTGGTTATTAAAGGCTTTGCCCTGCAGACTATCAATGTAGATGCTGAGACTTATGGGAAACCTTTGGGTAGAGTGCAGGGAATCTTAGGAAAGAAGTGAGAAACAGTAAGATCTGGAGAGGACAGGAACTCCATAAGGTGAGCAACAGAACCAAAAAATCTGAGCAGAGGGTCTTTCCTGAGACTGATACTCCAACCAAAGACTACATTCCTGAGACTACTTTCCTGAGACTGATACTCCAACCAAAGACATGGAGATAACCTAAGACCCCTGCACAGATACAGCCCATGGCAGTTCAGTATCCAAGTGGTTTCCATTGTAATAGGACCAGGGACTGTCTCTGACATGAACTGATTGGCCTGCTCTTTAATTACCTCCCCCTGAGGGGGAAACAGCATTGCTAGGCCACAGAAGAAGACAATGCAGCCACTCCTGATGAGACCTAATTGACTAGGATCAGAAGGAAGGAAAAGAAGTCTTCCCTATCAGTGGACTTGGGGAGGGGCATGCATGCAGAGGGTGGAGGAAGGGAAAGATTGGGACAGGAGGAGGAAGGGAACCACAGAGGAGATACAAAGTGAATAAAGTGGAATTAATGAAGAATTAAAAAGAAAGAAAGACAGTTGTTTCTATGAATACACTTGGACCAGTGTTTTCTAGCAAGCATCATTTCAGTTTTCATGGGAATTGTGGATAACCTATAGTGTGAGAACTTCAATGCAAGATTTAGCCATAAAATTCTTAATTTTAGCATGTTTCCAAAAATGCCCTTCTTTTATTAAACCAAATACTTTTAGACATTTGTTTAAAATGTGCTAGACTACAAGATATGATAAACATAATGAAATCTACACACCTAAAGAAGATAATCAAGAAAGTGGACACAGGCGAAGGTGATTAATCCTCATTTAGAAAGACAAATGGGATGTGCATTGAACTTATGACAGGAGTCTACCACAAAAGGCATCTGAAAGACTCTACCTAGCAGTGTTTCAAAGCAGACACTAAGACTCATAACCAAACCCTCGGCAGAGTGCAGGGAATCATATGAAAGAAGGGAAGTTAGTATGATATGGAAAGGATAGGAGCTCTACAAGGACCAAATATATCTGGGCACAGGGTCTTTTCTGAGACTGACACTCAACCAAGGACCATCTATGGATATAACCTAGAACTTCTGCTCTGATGTGGCCCGTGGTAGCTCAGTAACCAAGTAGTTTTCCAAAGTAAGGGGAACACAGACTATTTCTAACAGCATCTCAAGGGCAGGCTGTTTGACCCCCCCCCCCCCACCAAGGGGGGGAGCAGTCTGTTAGGCCACAGAGGAGGACTTTGCAGCCAGCCCTGAAGATACCTGATAAAACAGGGTCAAATGAAAGGGGAGGAGGTCCTCCCCTATCAGTGGACTTGGAAAGGGGCAGGGAGGAGACCAGGGAGGGAGTGTGGGGTTGGGGAGGGAATGAGGGAGCGGGATACAGCTGGGACACAGAGTTAACAAATGTAACTAAAAAGAAAAATAAAATTTAAAAAAAAATAAAAATAAATAAATAAATAAATAAATAAGAAAAAAAATAAAATGTGCTAGACACACTTGTGTTACTAAATGTCGACTATATTTATATTTGTTTGGTAATTGGGAATACACTTCTCAATCATACCGAGTAAGTCTTGAAATGACTTGGCTATACTATTTGTTAATTACTAAGTAAATTATTTTGTTGTGTACCATTTATGACGTAGAATATCCAAGGAGAGGATAGTACACAAGTCAAATAACACAAAAGTCTATTATGAAGAATCTTCTCCACATCAAAAACACATAAAGATATTTATATTATTTTAAGTATTTTTTATGCCTAAAAATCCTACCTTGTGCAATTAAGTCCCTGAATTTTCATACTTTTATTTGTTTGTTTGTTTGTTTATTACTTTTGCAGAAGGGAAGTCTCAGCGAGTCTGTGAAATTGAGCCATGTGTATACATGAGGCACCAAGGAACTGCACCTAACCGTAGTGTCCATGTGTTGTCCATTGTCTTCCAGGCAAGAGGAATGTTGCTATCAACATGATCTGAAAGGTATTAAGCCTCATTTCTCTTAAGCTATTTATGGTCTGTCCCTTCTTCTTTAAAGTGTATTAAGTAGGATGCATAGATCAAAGCAATAGAGCACCTGGCATACCTGGACATTCATGAATCTTTTTGCTGTTGTTTGTCTGTTTTACTAGGTAAATTATCTGAGATAATAAATATAAAAAGGACTTTATATAATTCAGCATCATTGAGCTTAATTTCATACCATTCCTAAGATAGTCAACAGTATAAATATCCTACTAACAAAACCTGAAAGCATTTAATATTATCTTTTAAAGCTTGATAGAGGTTAACTATTTAGTTAAATATAAAATTGAGGGTCATGGTGAAAAACAGGGTACAACACTGACTACCTGGTTCTGGAAGTGAACTGTGTGTGTACAGTTTCCTAGCTATGAGAAAATTACAGTCCAAGCTGAGTAGATGATGAATCTGATGAATGGAAACTCTAGGAAGAAACTATAAAAATTCACAAACTCATTCAAGTTTCATTTTAGAGTTCATTAAGTTTTTGTTTGTTTTGCTTTGTTTTTCACTGTGGTGGCAAGCTCAGAAAAAAAAAAAAGACTTCTAAAGCTTCCTGTTTAAGGTTTCTTTTGAACACAGTTTTGGAATAATTTTCAAAGTTTGTTGACTTACCGAAAACTCAAGTAATCTTTTTTACAATACAATGCTTCTGCCCTCTTACCTTTCTGGAATTCATCTTCTCCTCCTCCTTGTCCATCACAGCAATGTCAATACAAACACCTTAGGGAATGTGAAGATAACCTATCTCATAACTATGCCCCTTGGATGACTCTGTAATTAGTAATTAGTAAGTGGTCAGAATAACCAATAGCATATGAAAGTGGTTTTAGTTTGCTTGACTCTTAATAGAACAAGACCTACTTAGCTGTGTGCGAGATCATTTACCAAAGTTAAGAAAATAAAATTGCATCATAACACAAGGTTTTGGGAAGAAAATTTTATTGCTAAGCATATCCTTGAACGAAAAAGCAAATGGGAAATAAAAGAGAAAAGGTAAAAGAAAAAAGCAGTAACATCACAACATTATGAAAAAATTTCCTTTAGGCTCTGCGAAGAAAACAACAGGAATATGATGAAAGCTCACATACAGAATGCACGAGTTCCCATAAAATTGTCCAAATAGAAACTTACACTAAAAGGAATATAACAAATGAGCTTTTACTCAGATTTTAAAAAAATGAAAAGAAAGAAAACAGGAGATCAGTTCACAAGACCTCAAAACTCCAAGAACAGCAATCTGTCACAGACATCGAGATATAATCAACTTCATATAGGCTGGGCCATTTATCTAAAATCGTGCTTTGATATCATTTTATAGTCCTGTCTTTTCAATGACAACAAAAAGAAAATGAAAACTCTTAACACATTGAAATCTCAGATAAGGAGGAACATCGCTTTCCATACACATCAGAAAAGGCGACCATTGTTTTAGACTGTGCCTTCTGCCCCATGTCTTTAAGATATTTTTTTTCAAAGTCAAATATTCATGCAACTTACAAAGACCAGCAAGAGTAGATTTCTAAATCTAAACAGCTGATTGGTTTTCATCTGTACAAAAGAAATTGTATATGCCTGCCCCTCCGGATGACACACTTCACCTCTATGCGAGTATTTGTCTTGTTTCATCTTCTTGCTTTTTGAATGGCTACGGCCACAAGACCAGTTTATTATTACTCTGTACATTGTTTCCTCTTTACAAAAAGAAGACAGAAAAGAATGGGATACAAACCAAACAAACAGATAGAAAGGAAATAACAGTTCTTAAAGCGGTTATGTACATATGTGACTAAGGAATTATACCAGCAAAAATGTAGTAAAATATGTAAACAAAATCTGAGAAGTTTTTGTTGTTGTTGTTGTTTAAATTCTCTTTGACACAGTTAACTGTGACAAAACGAAAACTCACACTTTCTTCACATTTTAAGGTTTACTTTTTTGTTGTTTTGTTATTTTTCTTTTAAAATAACATTCTCATTCCACTTCAAGACTTTAACAGATTTCTGTGTCAGTCATCCCATCAAACATACCATGATAAATATATCTGTATATATATATTTATTTATATATATTATACTATTAAATCCTTTTTGTGTGTGTCACAGCAGCTTTATTCATTTATTTATTTGTGTTTATAAAAGATGGGTGGAGGGAGACATGAGGAGATGGAAAGAGAGATTTATTCACATCAGGCTACAAAATTAAACCACTATGGAAACCGTTTTCATGTCGGGGGTGGGGAAATAAGTAAGATTTTCACACTTGGCCATGATGTGGCTTGTGTGATCATGTGTGGTTGCATTACCAGTTGGGGACTCCCCTGCAGTCTGTTGAAACAGACACCGGCATTGTAGTTTCTTTATTTGCATGCATTTGGATCACACATCCATTCTACCCCCATCCCCTTCCCTTCCCTCGGAAAGGCTCTGCTTTAATTTATGGGGTTTATCTTTCCCCGTTCACACAATTTGGGTCTATGGACAGGGACAGTATTTTTTTTTTAAGTGAAACCAATAGCTCTGATAAAACCAGCCCCAAACCCATCTGCTGTAGGTTTGAGTGTCAAATACTAGAATTAGATCTTGGGGACCTGCTTTTCAAATAGATTAACATCCATAACATGGGTTCATCAAAGCGTTAGGAAACAAATGACCGATTCTAGAGACACCACAACCTGCTACGTGGAGTGAATGCCATGGTAGATTTTGAGTTCATATGGCAAGAGTCTCAAACATTTTATTTCTGAGTATTTTTTTTCCTCTTCTTATGTGCAGTCATTGTCAAAAATAAATAAATGAAAACCCAAAAGCCATTTTCCCCTCAGATCTTGGAAAGTTATACTCACACTGGCCAGAACCAGATAAGGGCATTTCTGGGTTTTTTTTTTTTTTAAATGTTTTGTTTTTGATTTTTTTTAAAGCATTTTTCTTTTCTCATTTTTTTTTTGTTTTTGTTTTTTTACATAATTAAACGAACAAACAAACAAAAAAATAACCCAACATTGTTACAGTCAAGATTCACAAACATCAGTACAGACTCACTTGGAGCTATGGAACAAGTAAGCCGTATAGTCTTCTACCCCTTTCAAAAGGTCCTGGAGAGAAGGAAGCTTCCAAGTCATGTGGAGTCATGGACTTGCTCCAGGGCACTAAGTCTGTGCTTTAGGATACAGCAGAGCAGAGAGAACTTTCTGTCTCCAGGCCGTGGATGCAACTTTGCAGCCTGGCTGAACATCACAGAGAAATACACCATCCTTACGTGTCCTTTTCAAAATGGTTTTCCCCACCATAGTCGTGGTACACCCCATCTCACAGAACACATCCAACGAGTTTTTTTTTTTTTTTTTTTTTTTTTGTTTTTGTCAAAGTGCTCAGGTGTGTGTGTGTATAAATAATGCTGTTTTAAATTCGCATAGATCGGTGTTGTGTTTACACGTAATACTCCTTGTCCTTGTTTTTCTGTTTCTTATGGCCGCTCTTGGAGCTGGCTTGCTTCTCCTTCATGAGCGTGCCGTTGCTCTGGGCCGAGTTGCTGATGTAGTTCCTCGTCTCGTCCACTTGATAGGACCCCTCGTCCCTGTTCCTGTACTTGTACATGGCGTACAGGAGGATCAAGATGCAGAGGGCGGCAGCAGCCACAATGCCGACGACCATCCCTGTTGTACTGCTGGACTCCCGGATCACCTCTGAGGCCCCCGGAACCCGTCTGATCCCTGGCTCCGTGGGGTTTGCTGTGGGCACATTACGGAACATGGGGGAAGTGATTAGTGGGCTCCGCAGTTTGGTGCTGTCTAGCTCATAGGCAGTGGGCAACGGAAGCAAGACTAGATCAGGCTGGGGTTTGAGATCACGGTTATTCATTTTGCCAGCTGGCAATTTGGGCACCATCCCAGACGAGGAGGACGCTGTGAAGCGGATCAGCTCAGGGGACAAAGATGTGGTTGTAGTTCTACTAGTTTCCGAGACTTTGTTAGGTCTAAAGTCCTTGGATTCCCACTTGGGCGCATGTGCTTTGTAGCCACCTTCGAAGATTGAAGTGGAAAGACTCTTATCTGTTACCAAGGAGAAGGTGGTGTAAAAATCTTCATCATCAGTAGGGGGCAGGTTAGAGTCAAAGGTTTCCCCTGAGCCATACCCAGATATCACCAAGCCATCATCATCACAACCATCGCTGCCTTGGTCCGACAAGCAAGGTAACCCCGCCTCAGAGGTCATGGACAGGGAATCTTTGGTGGTCTCAATAATGGTGAGGAGGGGGCGGAAGGTAGGGGGGAGTGTAATGGAAGGTACACGAGTAGCAATAGGAGGGGTAGCTAAAGGGTCTTCTACAAGAAGAGGAATAACTAATTCACCTCCTGGGATTGAAAAGAAAAAAAAAGACATAATTAGTACAGTCATAAACAGCTTATGCTTACTCTAATGAATGCAGGGCAGAGGTTATGCTTCTGAAATTACTATAAAATGACCTGGGTCTGCCTATGGGTATTTCTGGCTATTGCCTTATTACTCTGGGCTGATATAGAGCCAATTATATGCCTCTGCCCACCCAAAATTCGGAACCTTGAAATAAGAGTTTTAGATTTTAAAGATACTCTCAAGTGATTTAGAGTGACAGAATTCCAACAGGCTGGTTCCAGGATCTGCTGGCGAGATGGCGACTTCCAGTTTAAAATGGTCTTAGAAGTACTACAAGAACTTGGTATACATGTTGCATGCACACACACGGTGAGCTTTATTTACGGCTGCACATTTAAACATTTCTTTATTGCTTTCTTGGTTTCTACCTACTAGTTCTCACGAGCACGGAAGTGATCTATTTTCCACATCACCGAAACCAAACCAAGACCAAAGAACTGAAAATGTTTCACTCCTTTGCCATTATCTCAGTGATGGGGGGAGGGGGCTAGGCAACAGGTTTAAATGTTCATCTTGATGCATTTTTGACTAGGCTTCACTAGAAACTCTTAAAATGACAACTTGCCTCGCATTAGCAAATGATGTGTCTATTCAAGGCTTTTGTGATCTATGCAGTATATGCCGAAATGAAAACTCCATTAAAATATATATGTAGCCTAGATATCTGTGACTGGCTGGAAACTTATGTTGAGGTTGAGGAAAGCTGACTTAGCAAAGTAAATTTTTAAATCAGTGATTCTTCACTAGAATGGCAAAAAAAAAAAAAAAATACTAGTTTACCCAGAGAGCTACCTTATTAGATGGTTATTAAACACGTGAACAGCATGAAAAATCAATTTAAGAATAGTTCATAAAAACATAGTGTCTTGCAAATCACAGATGCAACAAATATTTTGTCAGGGAAGTTGATCATTTTTCCAAGGGCTGGCATTTCCTCCCATTTCAGCAAAAGAAAGTCTCTTTGGCAGCATCTCTTATCAGTTGAAGCTGAAGCAGGGTGATCTCAGGAAGTCACAGCTCATGTCCCCTCCTTGCATGTATTCTAGAAAAATATATTCTAGTCATAACTTAAAATGGTTTTAAACCACAGGTTCTTTTCAAATACTACAGAGAGGTTCACTGAGACAGTTTTCAGGTAGAACATCTTTTAGTAATTCTGGCTTCTTACAGTGGGGAAGCTGAGATTCTCGAACAACAGCGAACAACCCACAAAACAAAGGTGACCCTCTACTTTTATCTACTCTAGAGGAGAGAAGTCTCTGAGCTGAGGGGGAGTCTCCGGGCTTAGGGGAGAGGTGCCTCTGGATCCAGAAGGTTAGGGAAGGTACTAGGTAGGACATATGATTTGGCTGTTTCCCTGTACAGGAGCAGTACGTGTGATCTAAACAAAATGGCAGCCAGGAATGGCATGATTTCCCTCTCCATTTAGGAAGTTGAGATGATGATACAATGCCGTGAAAATGCTCTCTCTGAGCTGGGCGTAATGCACTTGTTTGTGTTGCTGTTGGTAGTTATTTTACTGAGACAGGGTGACTAGAGTTTGAACAATCTGCTAATAAGTATATCCATTGTTCAGGTACCCCGCTCTATCGGCGACAAAGCCAGACTGTGATTTGCAGCAGGTTCAGAGAGTCAAATCTTTACAGTTACACAGTCTGTCAAGATTCCTCCTAAAACGGTTCATTGGTAGAACTCTCCCATTCATCATCGCACAGCTTGTATCTTTAAACACCACCTATGCTATCCAGGTTCAGGCTTTGTTAAGAGGGGGCCCTGGTAGCAAACACATCAAAGGCCTTTGGCTGCCTCCCAACCTAGCTAATAATTGTGCTACCCAGCACAAGATAGGTGGTCAGGGCGACATGCATGTATGTCATGTCAATCACTCAGGAGGGGAAGCACAACAGAGAGTTGTAGGATTATTTCTCACCTAACAGATGATTTTGTTTTACGAAGGGAAGTAAACAAATATCTTCCTAAGACCCTCAAGATAGGTCTGGATTCTCAGTTTGACTTTCTATTCTAGTTCTTGGAGTTTGAACTGATTGAGCAAAATGATCTTTGCAGGGTTTTCAGAGCTCCAGGTTTGCTTTGCTGGACCAGTATGCCTATTTTTTTTTTTTTTTTACATTGTGAACATATATAATTCATATACCTTGCGACTTAGTTAATACATAATTTACACACTTTGCTAGTTTTTATAAATGGGATTTGGAGCACAATTCCCTGAAGATACGCTAGCCCTAAAAACGAATCCTGCACAAACTATTTTTCTTATTTTTCTAGAGGTGGGGAGAAGGCGCATGTGCTGCATTCAAGGGGATCTGGAAAGAGGGCAGTGTTTGGACGAAAGCTGGCAGCCATGGGGAAGAAACACAGCTTTCCAGGGGAGAACAAGACTGGGTTTCATTTTCAATTAAAACAATGTGCTGTCTCTCTCTCATTCTCTCTCTGTCTATGGTGTGTGTGTGTGTGTGTGTGTGTGTGTGTGTGTGTGATGGTGAGTGTGACACACACATGCCACATGCCACAGAGGACTCTGGCTCTGGAGTTTTGAATTTTTGAGGAAGGTTTTTTTTTTTCTTTTCTGCTGTGTGTACTCTAAGCTAGTGAGTCTTTAAGCATCCAGGTGACTCCTCTGTCCAATCTCCACTGTAGGCATGCGGAGATTACAATATATGACTCCAAGTCTGCAGTTTTGTGGGCTCCGGGGCACAGAACTCAGGTTGTCAGACTTGTGAACCGAGTGCTTTTATCTGCATCCATCTGGCTAGCCTTGGGTGCCTTTTAATCCTGGTTAACTAGAACAAACATTCAGCGCTGGCTTCATTACCAACACGAACCTGAGTTGTATGTTTCTTATGGCCATAACAAAAAACATTGCTCTTAAGCAAGGGAGCAAACCATGCTGAAGAGGAAGAGTCTCTGACTTGTTGGGAAGCAGTTTATTTAAATACAAATCCAAACTCTTGGCCCTTCACTCTCTTCCTGGTTACTAGAGGGCACTTGTTTACAGTGTTACTGAATCATCTGTAACAGTCGTGGGGAGACCTATATTTGGCTTGTTTGTTTGTTTTGTGTTTTCAATTTTTGCTAAAATTTCACAGTCTTGTTTGAAAGTCCAGAAAACCTGTTCTTATGACAGTTGAATAAGTCCACTCCCCTTTGCTATTCTTTTCTCATTCAACAGCCCAAAAAGCATTTCTGATTTCACACAAAAAAGTAAAAATAAAAATCCACCTTTTCCCAATAGTATAAATAGAGGGCTCGACGACTTGCTAACCTGCAGTTTCTAAAAGGCTGGTGAGTTCCAAAGTGAATGGGTATCAGATCCTAAGCAAGATCTGAAAATCTTCAAAACTATCATTTATTTTCTTTTCCTCAACGTTTTGCTATTTATCCTGGTTGCAGCAATAAGATATTATAAACAATGACCTCTGCCAGGAAAATTTGAGGCCAAACTATGCTGGACTATACTTGAAACCGTAGAAGCTTTTATAGTTTTTTTTTTTTCCTCTCTCTTAGTATTTCCAGGAATTAAAGCTGCCTGGAGTTTGAAATGAAGCTGCCTGGCATGGACCATTACTACAAATAGAATAGATGAAAACATTCAGGTAAGTGTAGACATTAAGAACTGCCTAGAATAGGTATATGAGTTGGAATATATAATTAAGTTTAAATATTCCATTATTTAATAACTTAATTATGTTATTAAATGCTGTATGTATGCATATATGTGAATATGTGTGTCTGTGATTGTTCTATGTAGTATATATTCATGTGTGTAAAGGGGCAGGAACATCCATATACAAATGCATATTCCCTCTGTAACTGTTATTTCTCTGAGGTAGAGTCCCTGAAAACTGGAGCTCATGTTCTCCAGCTAGGCTGGCACCTACCAAGCCCCACAGATCCTCCTGTGCTACTCTCCATAGTGCTGGGGTTACAGACATACAAATGAGACTTAATCAAGCTCATGTGGGTGTTGGGATCTGAACTTGGATCCTTATAGTCATAGAGCAAACACCTGTAAGCACTGGCTTATCTCTCTACCTGTGTACTTAACTTTAAGTATGAATACTTTTCTCTAAGTATTGAGATGTATACACTGTGCACTCAACCCTCATTTATGAGCGCCACAGTCATGGATTCAAGTGACTGCAGGTAGAAATGGCACCCCCCCCCCCAAAAAAAAGAGTCTGCACTGAATATGTGCAGACTATTTTTCTTATATAAAATATATAGACTAACAATTTTGCATAGCATGCACATTACATTTGCTATTTTAACTAACCGAGAGATGAATTAAAGACCAAGGAAGCTATGCACAGGTTCTATGCAAATTATGCCTCTTATTTTGTTTTGGACATTGGATCTAGATATGTTGCTGAAGCTGTCCCTAAACTTCTGGGCTCAAGCAAAAGCCTCAGCTTCCCAAGTTGCCAGAATAATAGTCATATACTAACATACCTGGCTGACCATGGTATTTTTTAATAAGGGATTGTCTTAGTTTCTTTTCCTATTGCTGTAAAAAAGTATTCTGAAAAAAGTAATTTTAAAAATGAAAATTAGACAGGTTTTCGTCTGTCTCACAGTTCAGCGTTAAAAATCCATCATGGAGGTATGTCATAATAGGCAGGAGCTTCAGGGAGCTGGTCACATTGCATCCATAATCAGTAACGGTAAATGCTTGTGTTCTGTTTACATCTTTTTTTTTTATTCCCAAGATCCTGCCTAGGGAATGATGACACCCACAGTGGACCAATCTTTCTATCTCAATTAACTGAATCAAAATAATCCTTTACAACTATGTGCAAAAGCCTGGCTCTCAGGCACTTAAGTACACACAGATGTTGGCATCAGAGAGGTACCCAGAACTAATCCTCCACACCAATGGATCCAAGGGCAAACCTCATATGAGGTGAGGGAGCAGGAGATA